CGAGGGCCCCCCCCCCCCCCCCAGGGCACAATTTTTGTGCAGTGGGCCTCTAGTATCTAATATGCAGGATGGTCTTAGGCGACCCCTGTGAAAGGGTCGTTCGACCGCCAAAAGGTTCGTGACCCACAGGTTGAGAACCACTGCCCTAGCTGATCTCTTGCTGTGACTTCATTTATCATATATATTGATAATTTCCAAATTTATATTTTGAATTTTTATTTTGTTTTAGTTTTCAGATTCTTATACTTAGCTATATATTTACCTCCTCTACTAGGGAATGGCCACCACAAATTTAACACATGCACGAGCTCAGTATCTTCTCTCTCCAAACTGACCTCTCTTTTGGTGTTCCTTTCTGATTAATCACACCTTTCCTTAGTTGGTTCTGCCATACATCTAGGAGTCACCCATAATCTCTGTCTTATCCTCCATTTGCAGTTTTTAAATGAGTTACATCAGATCTACTCCAAAATAGGTTCCAATTCTATCCACTTATTTACATCTGCATTATTGTCCTTTCTTATCCACATTACTGTAATTTCACTCTTAGACAAGTATAATAACCTTTTTAAAAAATATATTTTTACTGATTTCAGAGGAAGGGAGAGGGAGAGAGAGATAGAAACATCAATGATGAGAGAGAATCATTGATCGGCTGCCTCCTGAACGCCCCACACTGGGGATAGAGCCTACATCCTTGGCATATGCCCTGACTGGGAATTGAACTGTGACCTCCTGATTCATAGGTTGACGCTCAACCATTGATTCATGCCGTCTGGGTTATAATAACCTTCTAACTGGTCCTCTTATGTTCATTTTTGCTTCCACCTAAGTGATTCTCCATATGGCTGTATATTTTTTAAATTTGTAACTTTAAAAGACAGATCTCATCATATTCATTCCTCTCCTGAGAATGTTTGAGTGGCTTTCTGTTGCACTTATGGTAATCCCTAAAATACTTTGTGACCTACATAGTCCTGAAAAATCTGACATCTCTCTTCAGGTTTATCTTTTCTTATCCTCAGTCTAGCCACAATGGCTGTCTTTTAGTTACTTGAATAGATCAAGCTCCTTCTTTGTTTCACTTTACTCCTCTCTTCACTTTGCCTATTTTTATTTATTCTTTAGGTCCCAGCATAAATGTCACTACCTTGGTGAAGTGTTATCTGATACTTTCAGAATTAAGCTTAAGTTACCTAGAGAGCTTTCTGTACTGTTCTTTCTTAGATTTTACCACAATTATGATTTCTTGGGTGACACTATTTTTAATGTCTCCCCCGCTAAATTAAATTCTGTGAGAGCAATTACTATCTTATTCACCTTAACATCCAGGGGTCTGCCTCATAGTAAAAATACACAGTGAATATTTTTGAATGAATTAAATGATTGACTACCTTTTCAAAAAATTGGAATAATGCAAATAATTAACTTGTTTTTTGTAGCATTTCATTTAGATAGAAGAAATTCACCACCAAATAGTTTGACGCCGTGTCTCAAGATTCGAAATATGTTTGATCCAGTTATGTAAGTATTATGACAAGGGGTATATGTAATTTTTATTTGGAATATTTGGCTGAAAAATCAATGGTATTCTTAAAAATGCTGTGGCTGTAATTGAAAAATCTCTTTTCCTTCTTAATTTCTAACTACAGAAATGTTATATTTTTTCTTCTCTTTTTGTTATATTGCAACCAAAGGTTTGGCTAAAAGACCCAGATGTATAATGATTTGTAAAACTTTTATAAATCTTACCCACATAGCAGATAAATGCTTGAGTCAAATTAATGACACACACCATACAGACAGTACTCTTTATTAAATGCATAAGTCATGTATGCCAATGTTGTTTGCCTCAATGGGCAATAGAGATAAAAATATCTGCTATTTTTAAATTTCTAATCTTGTAAAAATTCTCCACAAAGATGTTACATACCTTCCCTTCCACAACCCTTTTTATCCATGTAATATTTGAAAAACTTTTCTGTCCATTTAATAGTTGAGAAACATTTCTATAATAATCTTCCTGGAGGCAACTGCTTATCTGTTTAATGATATGACATTCTATTTTTTTTGTTTTAATCCTCACAGTGGAAATTAATTACATATAAAGTACCTATAAGTTACATTTAATAACTCATGTATTTCAAGAAATAGTTGAGCCCTGGCCAGGTGACTCAGTTGGTGGGGTGTCATCCTGTACACCAAAATGTTTCAGGTTTGATTTCTGGTTAGAGAACATACCTAGGGTGCAGATTTGATCCCTAGTTGGGCAAGTATGGGAGGCCCTTCTCTCTCTCTAAAAATCAGAAACATATCCTCAGGTGAGGATAAAAAAAAGAAAAGAAATAGTTGATACAATGAAATTCTAAATAAGTGACAGCAAAATCAGAAATATGGGGAAGCGCTGTCAGTATATACACAGCCTCTATTTTGCAGAGATAGAAATAATTAACGAGGTGGTAATCCTGTTGGGAATCTTACCTCACTCCTTAACAGTTAGGAAATCACTGCCAGTCCAGTATTTTATTACCTAAGATGAAGATTACAATTTAAAGAGTAGCCGCCTTCCCCTCTGCCTCACAATCTTTATCTTAATTTGCATTGCTGCAGCAGGATATCGTAAAGCTCTCTTAATATTGAGGTGACTATTTTTGTCTTGTATTACTCTAATTATTTTGGAGAAGAGAAGCTCAGAATACATTACAGCAGGTCCTTGAATAACACTTTTTCGTTCAATTTGTTTAATGCCATTTTATTATAACATTAATGAGAAGTGTAGGAACGTAACTCCTATTTATATTAATCAGCCTCTGTTAAAATTGGTTGTCATACATCATTTCACTTAAAAGTTGCAGAACCTATTGACAATGTTAAGTGAGGACTTAACTGTATTTACTAAAAATTTTGCTTAAGTTTAGGAATTTGAAAATATTATTAAAAAAATAATATTCAACGTTTACCAGTCTACCCCAACTCATTAAAATGATTATTAACGTGTAGAAAGAAAAAAGAAATGACTATAGCTACATAGGATTTTAAACATAAAAATGACAGCACATTTGTGCTTCTATGGTGGGCTAATCCTTTCTTGTCCCAGCTCTGCGTTCTTACACTAGAAAGTGGGAAAAGGGCTGAGCTGCTGAAAGCTAACACACACACACACACACACACACGCACGCACGCACGCACGCACGCACGCGCACACACTGGTATTGACTTACGAGTGTCCAGACTAACGAGTTTTTTGAGATACCAGCTGTCTCTTGGCCGATTTTTGGCATTGAGTTGACAGAGTCATTTGAGTTAACAAGCTCGGTCTCGGAACAAATTAAACTCGTAAGTCAAGGCCCCACTGTATTTTAATCTACCTACTAGTATCAAGCATTTATTTACTACTACCTTTTTAAACTATCCCCATTCTTGTAGGATATATGTTTTAAGAGACAAAAGACTTCTTACTGAGTATGATTATGGGTGTTGATTTTTGTTTTCATTAATTTTAGGGAAATAGGGGATCAGTGGCATTTGGCAATTCAAGAAGCAATTTTAGAAAAATGCAGTGATAATGATGGCATTGTTCATATTGCAGTAGACAAAAATTCACGTGAGGTAAAGTAACTTTTACTATTGAATTCTACATTTTGAATTTGTTGCTATTAAACTAAGACTATTCTTTCTCTCTTTTTTTAATATCGCAGGGTTGTGTATATGTTAAATGTCTGTCTCCAGAATATGCTGGGAAAGCTTTTAAGGCATTGCATGGCTCTTGGTTTGATGGTAAGAAATTTGAGAATTATAAACATTTTGAAGAGATAAATATGGCTTACTATTTAAAGTATACTAGATTTTAAATTAAAGAATTTTAAGAGCATTTTTACAGTAATAATTTTAGATTATGTTAACTTGTGTTTTGTTTATGTTTTTTACCACAGTTTTTTTTTATAAATTGTTAAGCACATTTTTACAGACCTAAAATACTATTTTTATCTTACAACAGGGAAATTGGTTACAGTAAAATATTTACGACTAGATAGATATCACCATCGCTTTCCCCACGCTCTTACTTGCAACACTCCCTTGAAGCCATCAAATAAACATATGAACTCTATGTCGCATCTTCGTCTGCGGACTGGCTTAGCCAATTCTCAAGGAGGTTCCTGAAAAGACTTTCTTCCACTCCTAGAACTGTTATTTACAATAGAAAAATTCCAGTTTGGTTTCTTGTCTTCCTTTTTAAATGCTTTTTGTATGTAATATTTTTATTGAATACAGCTCTATTTGAACGTTCCAGAAATCTTAAGGTTCCAAAGGGACTTAGCAATGAGGCAGCAATGCTGAGTAGGTAAATAATTGTTTCATTCAGTTTTTTGGAGCTCATTTAAGCCAATGCATTTAAAGTTTTGCATGAGGAACATTGACTTTATTACATATTTTCAGATGTGGTGGTGGTATTTTTGCACCAAAAAGTGTTTTGATAATCACACAAAAGCATGGTAAAGAGACTTGTATTTCCATAATTTCCTGTGAACTAATGTTGTGAATTCTTGTATACAGTAACCTGTATAGATCCTTACAGGCTAATGTGGTAAAACTGTTCATTTTCCAATTTAACCTTAGGTTTCTATTGCTTGTAAGAGATTCATTTGCTACAGCTGGAATATGGGAAAACTAATTTGGATTTAGTGGTTACATATAAGTATAATTGGATGTACATGTACTTAAACTGGCTTTTCTATATATGTATAATTGCTGGTGGTGGCAAAAGTAGTCTTGTTTTGTGAGGATGTCTGCATTAAAGCAGTAAAATAAGCTTCCTATTTTATTCATAATCTAAAGTGTATATATATGTATATGTATATATGTGTGTATGTATATATATATATATATATGTATGTGTGTATGTGTATATATACACACACATATATACATATGGCTGTACTATCACATAGATCAAACAGCCAAAACCCCGGAAGTATTAGATACAAGTTTCAAATATCTTTTATAGGTTTTATATAAAAATGTCATGAGTATGATTTTGTGTGAAAGTTTCGATACCAGTTGTAATGGTTTCAAATTTATGTGAGCAATAAAGAAGCAATTGGCGGATATTGGAAAAGTATTTTGTGAAAAGCTGTATTTATTATAAATGCTAGGGCTACGATATAGTACCATTGGGATTAAGTCATTTTCCCAATCTATTTATAACTTAATAAAATATTAGCTCCCCTGTTATATGTCAAGTTTAAAGCAGGGCACATTGTTTCAGCAAAATGTGTATCTGAAAAATTATATCTACAGTTTTGGGTCATGAAACGTTTGCAATATAGTAAATGCACGAGTGACCATTGCTTTGTGCCTCGATATTTACTTTGTTTCAGGAGAGTTACTTTATTACTGTTTTTGATTTCAGATTAAAATAGTTGTGGAGCAAAGTTTACTTGTAATGTCCACAACTGGCTTTTTTTTTTCCTTTTTGTTTTTTAAGTAACCTGTTGATATATCATTGTCAGTCCAAATGAATATGTGAAACAGTTGAAGGTTGTACCGATTTTTATTTTGTTTAAAGCTCAGTTTCCTTTTTGGTTTTTATTGTATATGTGTTGGGTTTGCAGCATGCACTTGCACAGATAATGCACGTTTTCTGGTTAAGTAAACATGATGCACACTGTTCTGTAACAGAAAACCCTATTGTGCCTTACCTATGTGCTTTTGTGGGCACCATGTTTATGAAGAATAAAAATGATTTGTTATCTGAAGAGAATAAATTTTAAATTCTCAGTTTATGTCTCAGATGCTAACGTGTGAAAATATAAATATATATAATATATAAAATAACCATTTTATGTGCATCATAGTGATTTATCTGAGCTTAGTGACCCCATCTTGTGACCTGTTGCAAGAGTGAATGTAAAAATTGTGGCATTTTAAAAGGTAGCATTTTGATGCAGATACATCTTTATCTTGCTTCTAAAACATATTTCATGTAAACATTGTACACTTATTATTGTAATATATACTATTATGCAGCTTATTTTACCTGAAACTGTTAAGCTGACCAAGATCCCTCCCTGCAAGACAGATGGGAATGTGTATAATAACTAGATATTTGAGAAGTTCTGAAGTTTGATGTAATCTGTTACTTGTCCTGTTACAAAAAAGGAAAAAATTAAAAATTTATTAGGTTTTTTTAACGCGTGTTGGCTTTTAAAAAACTTCATAAGTGCCCTGTGTCTTTATTTTTTTTACCAGTGAAAGTAGGTGCCTTTATTTTATATCTTTTTGGGTATCTGTAAATATATATGTGTTTTATAAAGATGGATAAAGACCCTAGAGTTAATTTTAACCATCTATTCCTCAGCATTTTACTTTTCTTTATGAGAAATGTCTTTTTCTAAAAAGTGTTTGAATCAAAGTGGGGCAAGAATGTAAATCAGCTGCATTCCTAAACACAGTTTAGTTTAGCTAGACATTTTTTAAAAAGCAAGAATTACTCAAAAGAAGAAGCCATTCTTTTACATATTCTGGTTCATACTCCGTATCTCATCATAAAAAAAATGGTTATTGGGCTTTGAGTAGCAATGGTTTAGATTTTTTGATGGTTTAATCGAGTAAAAAGAAGACTTGGTCATTCAGTAAGTTGATAGATATAGCAGTTTGTATATCTTAGGGATGCAAATATGAAAAGAAAAAGCCACTCCTCAAGATGGTTACAGTCTAGAGTAGCGGTTGCCAGCCTTTCGGACCTCACAGACTATCAGTGATCCATGAACCACTGGTTGGTGACCGCTGGTCTAGAGGAAGAACATTGGGCAGATAAGTTAAAATATAGTGTGGAAAATATAGCGAGAGAGAAAAGAGCAGAAGAAATTCTGGGAGAACAGAGAGGCACCCTATCTATATATATATAAGGCTAAACTGGCCAACTGGCTGGTAGGTATGATGCACACTGACCACTAGGGGGCAGATATTAAATGCAGGAGTTGCTCAGCAACACCAACTCTCGCACTCTGGGACCCCTTGGGGGATGTTGGAGAGCCTGTTTTGGCCCAATTCCCGCAGGCCCTGCAGGCCAGGCCAAGGGGCCCTACCTGCCAGAGGGTCCCGGCTCACTCCGCAGATGCCTTTCGAGCCATGGCAGAACCCCAGGTGTGGCCTGCCGGGGAGGGACCACAGGAGGTTGGCTCCAGGGTGTGGCCGTCCCATCTTGCCCAGTCCCACCCGGCTTGCCACCTTCTAATTAATTTTCTTTCAAAGTGCACCAATCCATGCACTGGGCTACTAGTGATCTTAATAAATGGAGAAGACATCAGGGCAGATGAGGTAATAGCTGAGCCATATTTTTAA